GCCAAATACAGCTCAACTGGAGCAGCAACTATGTAAGTAGGCAACACTCCTGCCTGCTGCCCAACATTCTTGGGAAATGCTTTCAAAGTGTTTGGCAGCGGGTGTCGCCTGGAGTTGTGCCAAGTCTCTATTCAGCGGCGCTAATGCTAATGGCCCTCGGCTTCATCTGCGGAAAAGGCGTGCTTAAATACGTGTCTATATAATTTTGCCCAACTTATGGAGCTCGACTGCACTCTAACGGGCGTGGTCTACTGCCCAAACTTTAAATGTGCTAAAACGTACAATTAAATGAACGGCCATTAAACTTAAAGCACTTCATAACGAGCAGCTGACCCTTAAGTTGCCCATTTTGTATGTATATAAAATATTTTGCTTATGAATTGACATTGCTTCAGCGAGAAATACTCTTCACAAAGGATACTAAAAAATATTAATTGATTCAGTTGCACACTTGGACAATCTCTTTGGGGGTTAAATTTTGTTGGCTTTGCCTGAACATTGCATTAAGCATTAAGGATGATCCATCAAAACATTATTGCACCAACACAAAAATTGTCATGATTGTGAATATTAGTGTTCCAGATGCCACCATTTACATATTAAGAATAAGATTTATTGTATTTAAAATAAATATTACTCCAAAAAAATCACAAGAGAGAACTATTTTGTCAACACAATGCTTAGTCTACATTACTGTTTTGTTCATATTCTAAAGTTTCTAATAATTTCATCTTGTGTTCTCTAACTTAGATCATCTGTATATATGGAGTTATATGGAACCCGGCGAGTCAATTTGGCTTGTAAAATAATTTTCTCACTTCAGATCTTTATCAAGTCAAGACAGCTAAAAATTGAGAAATCTGAAATATTCATAGTAATTGAAGGCAAAAAGGATAACATGGAATTATACAGAATGGAACATTCAGCTCAATGGCATTATGCTAAAATATATAGGAATTAATATTACATTACACAACATATTTTATTCATTTTTAATAAAAGTTGTCGAGTTGATGTCGCTCTCGGATTTTCATATTGTTCTAAAAATACTTTTTAAATTTTATAAAAAAAAATGCAAGAAAGTTTTGCTTTGATGATGATGAAATGCAAATTGAAAACTGGTAAAAATGACAACACATTTCTGAGTGATGGTCATGTTGCAGCAGCATGTTGCACGTGTCAGTGTAAATGTTGATGACGTGAGTTAGTATGCGGCATGCAACATGTTTACATTGCTTGCTGTGCACACAATTACTTTGCAAATAATTAAGTACGTGCTGTGACAGCATCGGCGCAATGTGTAAGCATTTTTTAAGGACATTTCATTGGCAAATATTTACGCTGCAATTAGATGTGCACTCGCTGTTGGAGTGAGTTGGGCAAATGGAAATGGAAGTCGGAGAAGCGCGTGGGTTTTGCCTGCAGCATTATATATTTGGGCAAATTGAAAATCAGTCAATGGCAGAAGCTGTTTGGACAAAGGATTCGAACAGTCGAGCCAATACAGTCGCATTACGAGCTGTCCTTGCAGCTGTCCACGTGACAGCAACAAGAGCTCGGCCAAATGTGCGTTGTCAACTGTCGTAAATTTGAAAAATGTTCCGCAAATAAACAAATCAGGTGCTGTTGGAGCTTTGAGCTCTGCTCGACCATTTTGTTTATAATTTATGGCATCAACTGGAAGGGTAGCTAAGCCGGCGGCGGCGCGGCACAGCACAGCACAGCCCAGCCCAGGACAGCTAAGACATCACCGGCCGTAAAGCACAAAACTGAAATATTGCCCAAGATTTTTATTATTTGCACACATTTCTACTGCTGGCAGTCGACCAAAGTAGCTGTAGTTGTTTTTGTTGACTACTGTGTATTGAGAGTTGGCTGTTGGGTAAAGCAAAAGGCAGTAAAAGGCGCACCAATAAAATCCTGCAAATGCTGACTGAGTTTGTGGCTCTGCTGTGGACATATAAACAACAGTAGTGGAAAAACAAGTAGTACAACAACAATAGCAACAACAACAGCAACATGAACAACTAAAGTGGGTTTCATGTGCTGCTTATTGAGCATAAATCTATAAATATGTCAAGGCAATTGTTCTCCTTACACACCAAATGGACATAAGAGCTAGCTCATCTTCCAGCTGACCCAATTCTCAATGCCATTCATTAGAGTTTGTCAACAAGATGTCCTCGAGCAAACCTCACAAATCACGCTAAATCAGCTGCGGTCCAATTGAAATCGCGCATGTCCCAAGCATTAACTACACAACACTTAATATGGCTTCGCTCTCGGTTCGCTTATAATTTTAATAATAATTGTTTTACGATGAATCACAGATCGCTGCTAATTAGCTCAATAGGCGCATATTGAAACAAATTAAATTTCATAAATGACTCAGTTTATGTTTTCAATCCATTTAGATCTTATTGACTAATTGCGTGATAGCGTATTGCATGCCATCTTAAGTATTCGATACAGAATGTTTAAGAGAGCATTTATTTTATTATCTAACATATGTACACACACAGTCGCACAAGCTGAGTAGTTAACTCCAAGGCAGGCACTTAACTGTCACATAAATCGCGAGGACTTTGAAAGAGTCACAGAGTCAAACGTGTGGCTGTCATTGTTTGTCGCAAATTAGCTCAGTTGGCTTGAGGCAGCAGCACTTGCCACACGCCACTGAAATGCCATCCCAATATTATCTAACATTTATCGCACACACACACACCCAGCCAACCATGAGCATCGATAAGTGCGCGAAACAAGTGGCGGGCGAGTGGAGTGCTGATGTTGGGTTATTTGTCATTAATATGCAAACAGTTAACTACAACAAGTGCATGATTTAACAGTGTGTGTGGGGGTGTGTGGGTTGAGTGCGTGTGCGAGTGCATTGTGCATGCAACATGGCAAGTTGATTCAGCACTCGCTGGCTTCAATCAATGCCGGAAGCGGAAGTTAATTGTGCGCATGGCGCATGCAGGCAGCGACCGTTTAAGCATTTTGGCTAATGGCAACAACAATTAAGTGAGTGAAAGAGAGGGCCATAAAGCGTTTTATAAGGATATTTAGCCACGCGCCGAGTCAAACTTTGTGAACTCAGTCAGTACAAAGTGTGGCACAGTCGCTGCATTTAAATGCTTCACTTGCCTAGCCAATGGGTAGCCATTCTTTAAAATGTAAGTACCAAAAATTCAATAATCTGCTAAAGTCGTAGCACAAACTCAATGCATACGCCCAGGCGCTGCGGCGGGGCAGGAGCCAGGCAAGCAAAAAATGTAATTTGTCGCTAACCAAGTGTGTACTAACCTCATTTTACTAAAAGCATTAAAAATAAAACGTAATCACATGCTTCATAAAAGTAATAACTACACACACACACGTGCACAGAGATAGATAGATGGAGGGAAAGCGAGAGAGACAGAGAGATAGACAGGGAGAGAGAGAGAGAGAAAGTGAGAGCTTCCTGCAATTCAGAGCGTCGCTGACTACGTGTCGCTATAAAAGTGCTTCTGAATATGCAAGTATACGATTCCCTATGTGTGTGTTACGCTCGTGTATGTGTGTGCGTAACAGTAAAAGCGTTGACGTCGCGACGTCAGCCGTCACTGTCGCTGGCAATGCCATAGACGATGCCATTGTCTATGTCATAGCACGCACAACGCAACCCCAATTCAGAAAGAATGTGTGAATGAAAGGCAGCTAGACGATGGCAGAGAGAGGGGGAGAGGGAGGCACAGAGCTAGCTACATGTATGGCTATTGCATTAGTGTGCGTGCGCGTCTGATTTTTACGAGACGATTATGGCTTGCTCTTTATGATTTGCCATTGAGCTAAAGCGTTTTGGCATGAAAAGAACGATCATTCCATAAGGTACTCCGATTCGGCAGCAGTTTTTCAGCTCTGGCTTTTGTTTGTTAATTGCATGCAACTGACAGCAGGTTGCCAAACATTTGGACAAAGTCTAATTAACCTGTTCAAAATTTAGTCACCTGCAGTTCGAAGTGCAGCTGCAGCTCGTTAGTGGCAAAAAGTCAGACCCTCAGCAATTACAATAATCTGACGTTTTTCAGGCACTTGGGGACAGGTCGCTGTCAGTGGCATCGATGCTGCAAGTAAGCGTTGATAAATGCAGTGTCAGAGAAATGAAATATTGAGACCAGTAATCCAAAGTTGTTCGCTCTGAAATTGGCTTATTAAGAAAGTGTCAGAATTTTGGATTCATTCAGCATTTGGAGCGAGCAACTGGCCAAGAGCTTTATCATGTTGCATATGACAGCCAAACAGTTGAAGCATAATGAATACCCTCAGTGGACGCCAGTCCGACCCCTAATTACGCAGTTGACAAGCCGAGAAGTTAAGTGAAAAGTTTGAAGAAAATTACGGAGAGTTCTGTGAAAATCTTTTGTATATAATGAACGTCTCTCAAGTTTTATGAGTGGCTGCATTAGCCATGGCTCGATGCAGATTCAGCAATTGGCCCACGCCGCCCCAAAGTCAGCTCGTGCGCACATGTGACGCCCATCCCATGATGCGCCTATATGTGGCAACAGTTGATAGCGGCCGAAGCCAGACTCAGGCTTTACACTGACCGACCATGCGTGGCAATTGGATACTCAAAATGCCAAGCACAGTGAGAGCTCACGCTGGAAAAGTTTTTAAAATTAATTAATTTACCATGCGAATTATTTTCCTAATTAATGCAGCCGAATATGGTTCGCAATCTGATCCATGGCAGCTTGTTCCTTGAATTTGTTATCAAATATTGTCGAAACTTAAGCAACATTTGCATACACAGTATTCATAGCCTAATTATTTGGGCTGAAGTGGAGTTTGGCTGTCAGTTTATTGCATAGAAAAGGTAATCTAATCCGATGCCTATGCCTGATATTGAAAGAAAATTTCATTAATTGAATATATGACTGAATATGCTGCCAACCAACTGAATCTGAACTTGACATTTTTCTTAGAAAATACCAGAGATCCGCATTTCCGAGGAATTTGATTTAGCTCCGCTGCGCGTCAGTAACAAAATTCTGTACGGCTTCCTCCGGGCTGTTGTCTATTAGTGCCAATCGAAATTGTATGCATATGATTATATAGCCAATCATGCCAAAGACAAACTGTAATGAGAGCGAAAACAGCAATAGCTGCCTTGACATTGATGTGGTACGTCAATCCTTGCCTCACCTTGCCCAGCATCTCATTATTGATTACCAGCAAGCCGCCAGCGCTAAAGGCGAAGCTCTCCTGACCCAGTTGGGCCGAGATGCGATATAGAGCTGTATTTAGCTGCGCATTCTGGCGATCTGTAGCCAGGCCGTGCAAAATAGAGCGAAGCTTGCGCTGCAGCAGTTCGCATCTCGTGCAAATGTAGCTGGGAAGGAAGGTGAACAGCAGCTTGCAAAACTCTTCAGTTGCACAATCTGCAAACAGAAAAGAGTCAAAGTTAACAGCTCATATGAAAATGTTACCCACAGTATGTAGTGGCCATATCCACGTGGTTATAGTTGTTGACAAACATCCAATAGGGCAAGACGGAGATGTCCACCAAATACTTCAGCAGCACAATTATCAGACTCAGTGCAAAGTTGCGCTCAATGAGGCGTACTGTGCTCCAGAGCAGCCCGTGCAGGTGCTGCAGCACGTACAGACGCTCCAGCGATAAGCAGCGTAGGGACCACACCTCATACCGCGTCTTGTCCAACTCCAGCATCAGCCTGCAGCTGACCTCAGCCAGCTCCATGTAGAAGGCCAAGATCAACACCGCAAATACAGAAAACTCGCTGAGGCGCAACATCAGCACAACTTCAGAGTAAAAGGCGTAGACGAGCAATCTCGACATGTTCGTGGTGAGATTGTTGTATATGGTCATCAGCAATTGGACTAGGCAGCATGTCAGCCAAAGCCAGCAGATGGCCTTGCAGTAGCGGCACACTCGCACTATGTTCACCTTGTGGCCAAACTGTACGCGTAGTAAGTAGCGCATTCGTTCCAGCTGCTGCTCAATCTGATCAGTGCGATCGGTCCAGATCAGCTCCATGGCGACTGCCAGGTGAGCGATTGTCAGAGTAACAAAATTCAGTAAGTCGATCGCACGTGAAAAATGATCATTGCGATTGTAGACAACGCCGTAGTTGAAGCTAAATCGCCAGTGCAGTATGAAGGCCAGGTAAATCAATAAGCTGACTGTGTAGAACACCTTCAGCTGCAGCAGTGGACGGGGCGGCAGCAACAAGAGCCAGTGCTTCAAACGGCTCATGCGGTGCAGTGAAGCCTCGTGCAACTCGCCAGGCACATGCCACATGACTAAAGCCACACAAAGGACCAAAGGCCACTTTCGTAATGTTCCACGTATTTCAAGTAGATGCGCAATCAATTACTAATTGGCTAATTGCGCTCAACAATTCTCGATATATACACAGATGGGAACGTTATCTTCTTTTTTTTTAATAATAATTTGGAAATGCATAGTCATAGTCTGAGGTATAGAAGCCAGTTGTAGCTGACTACACTTATATACGATATATATTTATATAAATTAAGGTAGAAATCAATCTATTTATAATTTAGATAGAAACGAATTTTTGCAGTTAACTGTATTTGCCTTTAACTAGAAATTTATATATATTTAAATTTATATAAAAATAATTATAAAGTCTATAAATAAACCTTGATCCTTGACATTGCTAAGCGACTTTAAACAACTCGAGCACATTTCTTTCAGGCAATTTTCTGGGAACACAACAGAAAATGTATAAGTCTAAGTTTTACCATTAATGATCGATTGTTTTCAGGATGTATGCGTTTTATTTAAACGAGACTGCTCAACGCTAGTTTCATCGACTTCTGCGTCGCCTCTCGTCTTTACGGTGTAGGTTATCCAAAACTGAATGCAGATCAAAGTATAGCTCAGCACTCCGAACAGAAACTGCAAAGTAGAAACTTATACATAAGCCATATATAAAGCACAAGTTTTTAGCTCACTTTGCCCAGCATATTATTATTTATCGGGACCAGTCCGCCAACTCTAAACTGACAAGATTCCTGGCCAAGTTGCGCTGAGATTCTTAGCAAGGCAGTATTTAGCTGCTCGTTGCGACGATCTACCGAAATTACATGAAAAACAGCTCGAAACTTGCGCTGCAATTGCTCGCAACGGGTCCAGAACCAACAGGGTATACTTATCTCCAACAGTATGCCCAGCTCCTCCGTAAGACACCCTGTAAATGAAATTGAAGAAATATAAGTTTCGTCCAGATGCCCTACACATTTACCTACAGATCTGCATTGGAACATTGTTCGTGTGAATTTTTTTCACATACGCCCAGTATGGAAGCACCGAGGTGTCTATGAAGTATTTCAGCATCAGCATCACGAGGCTTCGCTCAAAGTTTCTCTCGATGTCGCGTTGTATCTGCCAGAGCAGCAGGTGCAATTGTTGCAACGTGGCGATGTGTTTCAGGGCCAGACGGCGCAGGGACCAGGTCTCGTAGCGAGAACTCTCTAGTTTTAAAATAACACTTGAAGCAGCGTCATGCAGCTCCTGGTAGATAGTCAGGACAAAAGCTGAATGCAATGTGAACTCGTTGCAGCGCAATATAAGCACTATTTGCGAATAGAAGTTGCTGATGAGCAGCAGTGAGGTGTTCGCTCTCGAATTGTTGTAAACTGTGGTGCCCAGCAGCATCAATACGCGCAGCAATAATAATATAAAAACTATGTTCGTCTTTAGACGATTGGATCGGGTATTCAGCTTATGGCCAGTCCTCTCGCAGAGCACGTGTTGTATGTGTGAAAACTGTTTCTCAATTTGATTGCTGCGGTTCTGCCAGATCAGTTCGAAGGACACCACCATATGGCTGACAACCAATGCCATAAAATTAACTAAGTCAAGTACATACGACAGAGGATCATTCAGTCGATCGTAGTCCACGGTGTAATTAAAAGCGATACGCCAGCGGAATATGAGGCCCAGATAAACTAACATAGCGCCGGTGTACAGCAGCCTTAGCTGCGGATAAGGGCGTGGCGGCACTATAAGGGCCAAGCACATTAGCAACTGTATAATGCGCAATGCCGAATTGTGCACCTTGACTGACACATAACCCATGACTGAGGAGCTTTTGGCTTTCGTTTTTTGTTTTGTCGCCTTAAAAATCGATAACTAATTGGCTAATTGGCATTGATGAGATATAAGAAGTCTCGCTCGTTTGTTCAATTAAAGGCTAATGTCAAATCCAACCCAAAGCGCATCAAGGCAAAAGACTAAAATAAAAAGATTTTTTAAATGAAATTTGAAGAGCAATTCAATTCAGACAGATAAGGACTGCCTCCAATATTTCCTTTGCTTTTAATTGTCAATAACTGAATTGTGAAGTACGCTCAAATCTTATTACTCATGGCATTTGTAATCAATCGATTTATTAATACAAATAACTTATTTTTCGATTTAGTCCAGAATTTATATTTTGATGCACAAGAATAGACAGGCAGCAGATTAAATACCTGGAATTAACTTTTTAATAAAGCATTTCCACATAATTTCCTACATATTGAATATCCAGAAATAGCAATAGCAAAAGCAAAGTGCCTAGCATGCTACAGTAAATGAAAATGAAATTGCTCGGCTCGTTGGGTTCGCCAGACTCGCCAAGTAAAGCTTAAAGGTACAAATTTGCCTAAGTATCAGCTAATTGATTTGAATAATATCAAATCTATAAGCGGCTTGATACGGGGCTACAGCTGACGAACTTCTCGCTACTGCTGCCTGAGTTGATGGAAACCATTTAAAGAAGACAAAATGCCCTACAGTCAAAGCCGCAGGCAGGCTTTACGCTTAGACAGCTAGCGGCATATTTCGAATTAACTTTTAATTAAAAAACTTTTTTGAATAATATTTTACATATTGCCAGCATTGGCCTATTATTCATTTAATTATTTGAATTAGTTAGCGATTAGTTAATATAAAAGAACTGTATTAAAATTCATATTTTGACAAATAAAAAAGGCAAATATTATTAAATGAATTAATTAAAATTAAAGCAAATTTATAAATTTGAATATATAATGACATTAATTTTTTACTACATTATAAATATCATCAAGGATGAATCCGCAGAGTCAAAGCGCCTTAGGAAAGGGCGTGTGGAGAGATAGCAGAAATATTTCCTAAAATTGAATTCAATTTTCTCCACTCAAAGTTTTCTGTTAATAAAAAGTCAACGGAAAAAAGTGATTGAAAATAAATGATAATTCATATTACTTTCCAATAACATAAATTTTATGTTATTGCAAATACTATAAATAGTAAATACGAAGGCAGACTGGCGTTATACGAAGTATCTTTGAGGATTTCAAGCACTTTTAATTCAACACGAATCTAGCTTTAAGTTGTTGTTGGCTAGAAAACAGCTAATTTTATTTGCTGGCTGCTCACATCCCAGATTAAGCAAAAGGCGATGACATATTGTGGATGTCTTTCACTGCTCAATCAGTCGGAAATGAGGCTATTGTATGATAGCACGTCTAAACCTATATTTCGACAAGAGTATATAATCTTCGGAGCGGAGAAGATAGCTGCCGCCGCTTGGGTTTTTTGTTGGAAAATGATGTACAATTGTTGTAGTCTCAAGTGATGCATTGCCTTTCATCTGCGCCGCCTGGACGCACTGATAAGAATGTGGTGTAATCGCTTTAAATGCCATTTAGCCCATTCAAATTGCCATCAAAGCGACGCCAACAAGTTGGAATCAGCCCCTGAGAGGTATTATTTGTTAATTTCATTACACCAAAAGCAAAACTCACTTAAATTTACGTACACACACACGCAGCAACACAGAGGCAAACGACCACAAAGAGCGACGAAATTGCTTATCAAAAACATGGGCAGGCGCTGGGAGTTATGGTTGGGGTCGAACCCGGTGCCGGAACCAAACACGGGATGACTGTCAAACACAAACACAAGCACATAGACGTTGTACATAAATTTGCATGTCTTTATTGCAGCTCAAAGCAAGAGACAAGCAAACAAACACGCGCACGCACACCCATACATGGCTAGGTACATGGCATACATGTGCTGCTGGCTTTATGCAACGAGTGAGGCTTTCTGTTTGCACACTTATAAAACACCTATGGAGACGATGAAGCTCAACGCCTCCAGTTATTTGAGGTAATGACTTAATTGCCACGCTACTACTGCTTAGCCCCTTACTTAAGCCCTCCTCGAAGCAGGCCTCTTCAGCTTAGCGCAGCCAACGTCAAATCAGAGCAGCCTGTCTGCAATTGGGCTCATAATTTGTGCAGGTGTCGAGAGCGCTTTGTCTTTGATTGCGCGATTGCCGCGTCTCTAATCTCTGCCAACCACAACGCAATCATCAACAGCAACGGCAAAAGCAGAAACAGCATTATCCTTTGTGCCAATACTGGGGCACTTAAAGTACAGCAAGCAGCTGCCACGGCGGGAGTCGGTTGACTCGGCACTTGGCTCAGGTTGTGGCCCTTGGTTAAATTGAAGCAATTGTACGGCGTTGATTTGTATAATTTTGTAATTTGTATACCAAAACGTAGCCACACATGTGTATTGGCATTAGCCGTGGAGTTGGCAATTTCACTTTCCCTAGTCCGTGCCAAATATGTATAAATAAATTAACGCACACATACACACAGGCACATATTGCTATTATCTATGTGCATAGGGATGCTACGAAAATTGCAATCAACCACAAAAAATATTATTTTTATTTATAATGAATTTCATTATAAATTTACAGTTGAGAGAAGGAAATGATGAAGCAAGAGATCTGACAATGAAAACTTTGATTGAACAACATTGTAATAAATGCATAAATAAATAACATATTTAATATATACAAAAAATGCATTAAAAAAATCTTAAAATTATAGCAAACATATTGTTATGAAGTGTGTATTTTTTTGTTTTTAAATTATTAGTTTAATTTAACATCAAATATGTGTTTTTTAATTTATCATCTCCGTTTTTACAATAAATATATTTTTTGTGTTTTTTTTAATAAAAAATAATTAACATATAAATCAAATTCTTATATGCATATATTAAAATAACTCTAATTTTAAATATATACAATATGATTATTTTTTGTGTTTGTTAAGTATAAATGTGATTGATCCAGAATATTTATATGCTTCGCTTATTATCTGGTTTTTATTAAATTATATAACATTCGTTTTGTAAACTTTTAACTCATATTTCAAAAAATTAAATTCTTACTTGAAGCATTATTATCTATAAATATATATCTAATACAATTTTTTAACTGTTATCTCTTCTAAAAAATAACTTAAATTAGTTATTAAGCTGGCTAATAAAACTATTTTTCTATATATATATTTAATATATATTATATATATTATAATTCAAAACTGTTTTATATACATCTCATTTGATATTTGAATTATGTTTCTTGCTGCCCTCGCAGTTGTTTGCCCACTCCCATACTTCGCGCAGTAAAGGAAACAATTTTTCCAAATGTAATTATCGGCATATTTGGCACAAGTATTCTACATACTTACACCTCTATCTCTCTCTCTCTCTGTGTGTGTGTGTGAGCTTGTAAGTGTGCTGCACGTGCCTACTGAAATGCCAACATGCTGACTTTGGGTCTCGCTTTGGTTTCTGTAGTTCAAAGAGAGTGGCTACCCCAACTGGGATTCATGGCTTCGCTTTGTATAGCCAATTCGAATGCTCCTGGAGTCAGATCTTTGGCGCAGCTGCTTATATGACACGTGGAGCGTGCGTGTTGGAAGTGTGGGGCTTTGTGTAAGTCATTATATCTTATCTGATTTTAATTTGCAGCAATTTACCTTCTTGCACCTGTTGACCCGTGTGGCACCCCAGCCCTCCGCCGCCTGTTGGCATTACAAATATGCAAATGCGTAATGCGAAAATGTAAATATGGAAATTTTGGTGAAAATTGATTTTGCAATTTAATTGAAAACTCCAGAGCTTTTTGTTGCGGCCCACATATCGTTGTCGCATTTATGCATGCTTGCTGCTAGCATTATTGTTGCTGCGATGATTGTTCAAGCAGCTGCCACAAATTGCATAAATACTTGAACATTCCCACTTCCACATCCTTCGCACATCGTTTGCGACTTTTTCCTAGATTGTTTTTAATGACATTTAAATTGCCAAAATTACACCACACACAGACACACTGGTGTGCTGGAAATCAATAATCAGAAAGTTCAATTGGAGTCATTGGCAGATCCAAAATAAAAAAAAAAAAAAATAAACCAAGGGCGGGAGCTGACAAATGCGGCTGATATATGTCCTAGTCTGGCTCGATAAATTTCATGTGCCGCTGTGCGTGTGTGTGTGTGTTGAGTTGCAAAAATGCCTGGGGGCGTGGCTAAGCTGTGATATATGTGCGGCATTTGGAGAGCAATGCAAACATGGCACCTTAATCCACAATAAAAATTAATTGCATTTTTTCAAACACATAATTATGATGCGGGAAAGCGACGTGAAAAACGACTCCAAAGTCACGCCAGTTCACATTGGGACAGACAGTTGCAAGAAGTCAGGAGGTAACAAAGGCAGCCCACACACATGCACAGACAGACACAGATGTATATATACATATATAAGTCTCAGCATTTGTTACAAACTTCGATAACATCATTTATCTTCACTGGCCACAGGCAGCCAACGGCGAGGCGTTGCCCGAGTCACAGACAAGACGCGCCGTGGCGAGATTGTTGAGAGTGCGAGGAGTCTTTGGGGGTCATGGCTAAAAATATTCCTTCTTTAGCTATTTATTGGCAATTTCGTTGTTTGCTGCGATATATTTGAAATGGACGCTTGCTTAGCTCTATATTTCAAACTAATTGGCAAGGTTAAGCGAAGGGCTAACTGGGCAAGTTTCGCATGTGAAAAGTTGTCACTCGTTGGAAATCAACTTTAATTCACTTGATATTCGAGCAGCCGCTTTATTATCTCTGCTGCCAGTTGGCAAGGTCAGTGAAATAATAAAAATAAGACCATTTTATATCGGTCCATATAGACAACGAAGACAGCAACAGCAACAACTAGAGCCAGCGCAGCTCGATTTGGTTTTGTTTTTCTTT